GGTCATCTTGTCTCTTTCCTATAGAAAGAAACAAATAAAAATTATTTCAAACCACATAATTTAGTTTTTTGCCCTTAGTAAACATGCACTTATGCTCCTATTGGATATAACACTTCCCCATCAGAGAGAAAAAGAACTTGAACTTAACTTTCCTGAATGAAGTAAACTTTGGACCCATTCTGTGAAATTACAACATGCTCCTTAGTAGGCATGGGTCGATAAGCGTTTTCAAGGTGTACTATGTTTTGGAAAAGTCAAGGTCTTAAAGCCGCCAAAATTTCTCTCTGTTACACTGTTTGTACAATTTAGGTTTTTATAATGTTTTGTTAATTTTTTTAGAACAACAGTATCTCCAGCAGAAAATGTTTCAAATGGTGTCGTTGTTTTTAAGGCAGCAGAAGGCAATGATTCATTTAGCCTGACATGTTTACTGGGATAAAATATTTTAAAAGTTTTGCAAAATGAAATATATTGTGTTCAAAGCGCAAAAAAAGTTTTGTTTTTAACCCGGACATTTTAAAAGAATATATTTAGAGCAGTAATCACAATACTATAAAACTGTATTTTTTATCCAAGGTTATCATACAGGCAAAATTTTATACCAGCCCATGATTACTCATCAAAATTTAGTCTAGTTTTTTTTTTTTTTAATGAGAGAATTGGTCAATGCAGAATGGACTTTAAGTCTAAATGAAGAGTTCGAATGCAAAAAAAACTCTACCTGTCATCTGAAATGACCATTTTTGTCAGCCTCCTATGTTTATGTTCAGTTGTTTCACTTTAAAGGCAATGTAAATGACGTATATGTCACTATAAAAGTAAAATAACTGAGCCTACACAAAGGAGTCAGAGAAAAATGCTCATTTTAGAAGAAAATATCAAATGGCTTTAAGAGGTTTTTGCATCTAAACTCTTCAAATGCGCTTGTTGTAACATTATGCAAAGACAGAGGCTTAGCCTGTTCAGCAAAGAGCACAATACCATGCTTATGCACTGGTACTAAAATGCACTTGTACACATCATGCACAAACAGAAAAGAAACAGACATGGAATAAACAGATTACAAAATGGAGATGTGTGACTAAGGACGTCTGTAAATATATTACTCATTAGACAAACTAAACATTCTTATATTTTTTTTCTAGCAAACAGTTTTAAAACCACAAACTAAAATGTGAATACAATATATCTGCAAACACAAAAAATTAAAGTACTGATAAAAGAGGTATTGCTGTAACGTTATCCCTTTTATCCTTCCGTTTTCTGATCTTAATAAAACAGTACGGATCAATTTTACCTTTTGGAGTTCGACGTGGTGTTTTCTTAGGAGTTATGTCAAGATGTACAACAATCTCATCTGGATTTCCCCCCTCTTCTTCAATTGCCTGAAAACGAAAGTGTGATGTAGTCAAACACAAGCATTATTGATACTTATCTATAGTTTCTGCATAACAACCCCTTTATTGTTGTGCAATGAAACCCCACACTTCATTCAATGTACATTACGTAAGACATCTTGAAATCAAAATATTCTGCAAAGCTAGGTGGGGTTTCTAAAACGACTAATGTAAACAGCTGTGATTAGCAAAAAAGAGTGTACGTTAACATATACAATACGTTAACAAAACAAACTATTGTATTAGTAAAGAGGAGATATAAAAAACAGGGAAATGGCAACACATGTAACGCTACTGCAGTAAACACTGACCCCACAACGTTAACTCAAATCTCATTCACTCTGAAGTATATAAAGGTGCGAGATTATTAGGATAACATATGATTCCGTGGTTCTGTTACCTTTTTAAGTCTCTCTGAAAGCAGGCTTTTATTGCCGCTGATGTCGAGGTTTCGGCGCTTCAGCTCGGCCTTCAAATCGATGACTCTCAGCTCGGATATTTTACGAACGCCAGGCTCTACAGACCCCACATCTCCCGTCGAAGTGTCTGACATGTTTTCAGCCAGTGAGACTGCAACGGTGAAAGAATTATCACAAATCTCCTTCTATCCGCACACACTCACCAGATTTTTGTGCACAGAGCGTGATGAACAGCGTTTCTCACTTGAAACAAAATGGCGTCGACCAGCAGTCACGCGCATGCGTCTGCCATTGGATGTTAAGCGCATGCGCAAAAGCGTCATCATAGTCGTGGTTGGGCGGGAACGTCGAAGAATTTACAAAAAAAGACGTCGAAAGATTTACAGATAATGTGGGAGATGTTTCTGGGTTGCAGCTGCAAGGGCATCCGCTGCCTAAAACCTATTGCATGCTGGATAAGTTTGCGGTTCACTCCGCTGTGGCGACCCCAGATTAATAAAGGAACTAAACCGAAAAGAAAACGAATGAATAAATGTTGTGGGAGATGTAAAATGAAAGGTTAGTTTTAATGTTTCAGGTCGAAAATTCTTAAAAATAACATATTTCGTGATTTAAAGTTTGAGATTAATGTGCAGGATTGGTGAATGGATGGATTTCGGTCACTCCTGCCATAAGCATATGTGTTAGTGCAGGGGTGTCAAACTCAATTCCTGGAGGGCCGAAGCCCTGCACAGTTTAGTTCCAACCCTGCTCCAACACACTTACCAGTAGGTTTCAAACAAGCCTGAAGGACTCAATTACTGTATTTAATTAGGGTTGGAACTAACTGTGCAGAGCTGCGGCCCTTTCGGAACTGAGTTTGACACCTGTGTGTTAGTGGGAGCTCAATAGTTCCTTACTGGAATAAGTAATTTCACTAAGAAACTTTTACATCCTCGCAACCTTTTCATCTAAGTTCTTTACATTACTAAAGTGTTCTGCATGACAGACCTTAAAAGGAACCTAAAAATGTTATTTGAGGTACTAAAAAAATAGTTGTGCCATTTTTGGCCAAGAATTGTTAAAAATAACATAATTGTTGAAGTTATAGATTTTTGTGCAAGGTTAACGGGTGGATTACGGTCACCCATGCCATAAACATGTCTTATAGTGGGAGCTCAATATAATATTTTGCCTTTTAAATAAAGGTTCCTTACTGGAATAAGTCATTTCACTAAGAACGTTTTACATTCTTGCAACCTTCTCAGCCAAGTTCTTTACATTACTGAAGTGCTCTGCATGATAGGGCTCAAAGGAACCTAAAAAGTTTATCTGAAGTGCCAAAATTTTTTATTCCTGGCACCTTTGTTTTAAAGAGGGAATTACAAGTTATTTAACCTTGGCATTTATAAAAAAAAATTAATAAGATTTTTTGGGGATATTTAAATAAAGCACACTAAAGATAATTTGTCAGGATTTGTGAATCATCTGCCAGTATATTTTATATTTTCTTTTAAATACATTTCTTATACTTATTCCTAAACATTGCATTTTGTTCTTGTATTTTATTTTATTCCTAGAAATGTTGCATAAGTTATTTTTGTGATACATTAGCTGTTACAACAGAAGAAAAAAAGCTATTGTGTACTTAAAAAACAAATATATAACTATATAATTTAATGCACTGGTTGGTTGACTTTTCAATAATACCATAATGTAAATATTAACAGCACATACACATTACATTCTCATCATGTCTGTGTAACATAAGGAAGGTGCGGGAATACAACAAAATGATACTGCAACACATTCACAGTTTGTAATAGATCTCGGGTAACACTTTACTGCTAAATGGAATTTTGAAAGTTGCTAAATTTAAATGGCAGTTCCTCAGAAGAAGCACTGGGTAAACTCTTAATGGCGGGAGGTTCTTCAGACTCAAGAAACTCTGGACATAATGTTTCCTCCGGTTCGTTCTTCAAACCAAAGCATGCAAATGATTCCATTGGTACCCGATAGTTGGGCAAGGATGTAGATGCAGAACCAATGAAATTTTGTTTTAGGTCAGGCAGGTTAGCTCTGAAGCTTTCGCTGAAGGATGAAGAGTCCAAAAAACTGGACATTTGTTGATCAGAGGAGGAACTGTGAAAGAGCCGTGGCTCGTGGAGATTGAGTTTGGACACTAGAGGTTTTCCCACAGTGATCCTTTTCTCTTCCAGGAGCTCTTCATCCAGATTACCATACTTGTAGTGTAGACACACAGTAAAGGAGAGTTCTTTCTGCATGGGAAAATCAAGTAATATATGATAAATAACACATACATATGCATAGTATACAGTTGAAGTCAGAATTATTAGCCCCTCTTTGAATTTTGTTTTCTTTTTTAAATATTTCCAAAATGATGTTTAACAGAGCAAGGAAATTTTCACAGTATGTCTGATAATATTTTTTCTTCTGGAGAAAGTCTTATTTGTTTTATTCTGGCTAGAGTAAAAGCAGTTTTTAATAAATAAATAAAAAATTATTAGCCACTTTAAGCTATTTTTTATTTGATAGTCTGCAGAACAAACCATCATTATACAATAACTTGCCTAACTACCCTATCCTGCCTAGTTAACCTAATTAACCTAGTTACGCCTTTAAATGTCACTTTAAGCTGTATAGAAGTGTCTTGAAAAATATCTAGTCAAATATTATTTACTGTCATCATGGCAAAGATAAAATAAATCAGTTATTAGAAATGAGTCATTAAAACTATTAGGTTAAAAAATTCTTCCCTCCATTAAATAGAAATTGTGAAAAAAATAAAGAGGGAGGCTAATAATTCTAACTTCAACTGTATATACTGTGCATATACAAACAAGAGTCACTATACCTTGAGTCTCTGCAGGGCACTAATACGAGTGAAGAGCTGAGGTTGTTTCAGAGGCAGTAGATCATCTATGGTCAGCAGGAAGCTTTCAGCCTCGTGGAGACTCTCCTGATTGCTGCGCTTCAGGTCAACTTCAGGGCCCTTAAAAATATTGTCAAAACTTAATCCAAAATAATATCTGCATGTTTGACATTGCAAGGGAACAAGTTTCCTTTAAAACCAATCATTGATACATATTCATGTTATATTTTCATGGATTAAATCAATACCTTTTTTGCAGATCTACAAGAATAAAATTCACCTCAGTAAAATCAGAAAGCTGAGCAGAGCAGGACACAATGTCTGTTGGAGTCTCCAATATCTGAGTGTAGATTATCATGATATTGGAAAACTCTGCAGCAAAACCGAGCTGCACCGTGACACCACATTCAAACTGAAGACAGCGGCTCTCTGGGAGGACTGGTAGGATTTACACAAAATACATTTTTCGTTTGATTTCATTAAAGCCATTTAAGTTTTCTGAAGTACATAAACCAAATGTTTTTTTATTATAAACAGGTCATACCATGTGCAATGGCCCACTGTAAATTCCGTGTTGATGCTGCGATTTGGCATGCTGGAGCCTGAATTTTGTCTGTCAAAGCACGCCGCTCTGATAGATTACTACGGAGCTCCAGAGCCTGCCGACCACGAGTGATTTCACACCTTCCCATGTCTGCAATGGACAAATACTTTGTAAGATTGTACAGTCACACTTGCTGTTTTTCATTTTAATTTTCAAAGAGGGTTTTGCACCATGTGGTTAGAGAAACTTAGCTATAGGAAATTGTCATCGAGATCCAGGCTTAACATTAACACCAGACCAACCTGCCAAATGCGGGTTGATTTCAGCAGTGGCAGGTAAGATAGACACTTCCACTAGCCACTTTGGCTGGTTGAAAGTAATTTTCCCGGATAATAATTCTTAAAATAAGAAGTCTCTAGAAGTCCTAGAAGTTATTGCGGCTGAATAAAGGAGGTGGGAAGCACAGCATATTATATAAACTTATTATTACAGTTCAGAGATATAACTTATTTATCTCAGAAGTTTCCTAAATGAGATGGTGAAATAAAACATTACCATGAAAATCTTAATAGATGCAAAAACACATTAAGGGTGTTTACTTGCTGAAATTCATTTTATTTGTATTGTGCAAAGTATATTTGTAAACTGAAAAAGGGAAAAAACAAAAACTTATTGTATGATTGCTTTAATGTTTAAATAATTTTAAAAGGTCACGTGACCAACAGGATGAACGCAGCATCTCATTTCTCACAGGACGCGTTCAGTGTTCTCGTGGTAGCTCGAGTTCAATCTTCTGAGGTGAACTGCCAATACCGGCCTTCACAAAAATTCAAGTTCATTCTCTTTGTTCTTGAAATTGAGAAACAGCCCTCAATTATAGCTAGTTCAGGTGTGTCTACTTGGAGTTGGAACTAAACTCTGCAGGACACCGACCCAACAGGACCGAGTTTGGTAATCCCTGCTTTAAAGTGATAGTTGACCGAAAAATGGAAATATACTCACCTAAAGTGGTTTCAAACCTTTCTGTGATTCCTTTTCACCGTTGAACACAAAAGTGTTGTAAACCTGGTACCTTTTGAATTATGTCCATATTATTACCTGAAGGGTACATATTACTACCTAAAAAGTAGGACGCTTTAAATACAAATGTGTACCTTTTGAAAAGGCACCACCCCAGTGCCAGTACGGTACCACCCCAGTGACAGTTCACGTACCTTTAATTCAGACAGTGTACAGTACCCTTAAAAATATCACATTTACAGTATTGTGATGACTGCTCTAAAATATATTCTTTTTTTAAATATCTGGGTAAAAAACAACTTTTTTCTGCTTCGAACACAATGGCTGCGACCGAAATTGCATACTTCCATGCGAGCTGGGTAGCATGTCTGAATTCATAGTCTTTGAAAAACAGTATGTGAGAAGTGCCCGGATGCCTTACTACTTCCGGCAAGATTCTAAAGCGCGGATCAGATGGACGCTAAGATATCCCTTGATGCACCGCAAGAGAATTCATAAATGGAAGTAATGTGGGTGTGCCACGTGATCATGATAAAATGGCAGATGTAGGACGTCCAAGATCCATTCATACTGCTCACATTCATACTGTATAGAACGTACTTTTCTATTGGTCAAGTAGTAAATTCAAATGCAGTACCTACTGATGTAGTAGGCATTTTTGGAAGCAGCCAATATATTGTAATTTAAGAAACATTTAAAATATTTTGGAACAGTAAACATGTCAGGCTAAATCATTTAAATAAATCTCTGACTTCTGCTTTCTTCATTACTTTCAAAAACACAGATTTCTTAACAATTTAAAATGGCAATGGATATCTTTTCTGCTGGA